CATAGCTATTGGTAAGATATATAGGAGATATGGGTTTTGTTTGGTTTTAATCTAATTTTTATTGTTACTTATAATATTATCTATAACTTATTTATATCTCTCAATCTATTAATTCTCTTATTGTTTTTATTTACTGTTAATTATTCAGGTTTGCTTAAGGATTTTGTGCAAACCGACCCACTCGTTCGCTCAGTGGCAAGATTGTCTGCGACCGGATCCCAGCCATTACTTCCATCTATAAGATAGGAATAAAATGGGTTTTGCTTTGCTTAAGGATGTTCTTCCAGTTTTGTTTCTCACTTTGTTTCCTTTCTACTTGTACTTTTCATTTTCCGTTTCTTTTATCTGTCTTCTTGTTCTTTCATTTTCTTTCTTTCTTTCTTTCCAGTTTTGTTTAAATTTTTGAAGTAATTTCATGGCTAAATAATTAAATGGTTACTTTCTTACAAATTTCCCCATTTTCATGGCTAAATAATCCTCCTCCATCTGCATCAATTCTTTTATCAATTTTAAGGTTTCTTCTTTATTTTTTTTATTAATCATCTAATTATATTAATAAGATACATAAGCATCTACTAATATATTTTTTTTTTTTTTGCAGATTATATATTAAACTCACAAAAGAAAAATGTTTTGAGGTAAATTTTTATTTTATTTGATTCATGTTTTAATATTTTTTTTGTTAACCTTAAGTATTATAATGTATAACATATATATATATATATATTTTTTTTTTGCAGATAAAGTTCTTTTCTTGAGATAAATTGCTTGAAAATTAAATTTTTTGTTGATTAGTTTTTTATATTATTAATTTGGATAAAATATTTTACTTTTAATTCCTCTTAAATTTATTATTTAAATGGTAATGTTGTGGGATATGGTTTTAAGCATGTAATTTGGTTATGTTAATTTGCAATGATTTTTCGTTGAATAGTCATGCTAAATTTTGGAATTTTTTTTTCCTGTGACCCACATATTTTCGACAGCCAAATTGGCTGCCGAAAATGTTTACCTTTTTTTGGAACATATTCGACAGCCATCTGACTGCCGAATATAGATATATTCGTCAGTATATTTACTGACGAATATATCTATATTCGGCAGTCAGATGGCTGTCG